CATAATTTTAAACTCAAACATGCTTTGGTAATTAACAATCATAATTAAAAAAAAACTAAGTTCAATCAGTTTTTGACTCTAATGATAGTAATGACAAGTTGATTCCAGACCACTGCTAAATTTATAATAAAAGATTTTTATTTTGAAAGTTTTGGAACAACATTAATTTAACTCAATTATTATGTATCAACATTATTTAGCATTAAACAATTTCTTTCTAGGAAGATGTCCTTCATTCATGTCACGGTGCTCCAATTTCAACATGTTATGTGTCAAGGAATGGTAAACTGATGACAACTTCTGCACCATTTGGTGCTCCACTAGGGGCTGTTTGGGGAATTAATTACAATGATGGCCAACCTGTTTCTGTTGAGCTTAAGTACTTTTTTTTACTAATTTTAAAATATGTTTTAAAATATTTCTATAAAAAATTTATTTAGTTTTTATAGTTTAATAAAGTAATTTTAGTTTTTGTTTACTTAAAATAAAAATAATATAAATATATAAATGAATATATAAAAATAATAGTATAAAATTTTGATTAATTATATATTTACCATATTTTTTATTATGGTGAATTTGAATTTTACAATTTTGGTATTTTTGTTTTATTTTTGATGTACTGGTTTGTTGAACTTTTGACTGTAAAATGGTTTATTGACCTAATGGTTTATTAATGGTTTTGCCATATTGAGTTTAATTTTTTTATTGAATTTCATTGTTTATTAAACATTAATAATAGTTTTTTATTAGTTGTAATAAACATTTTTGTTAGTAGTAATAAACGTTTTTATTAGTAGTAAGAAACATTTTTATTAGTAGTAAAAAACATTTTTATTAGTAGTAATAAACATTTTTATTAGTAGTAAGAAACATTTTTATTAGTAGTAATAAACATTTTTATTAGTAGTAAGAAACATTTTTATTAGTGGTAGCGAACATTTTTATTAGTAGTAAGAAACATTTTTATTAGTAGTAATAAACATTTTTATTAGTAGTAAGAAACATTTTTATTAGTAGTAGCAAACATTTTTATTAGTAGTAAGAAACATTTTTATTAGTAGTAATAAACATGAACACTTTTTTGAATTTATTAGAATAAAATTTATCGTTCTTTAATTTTAATTAGTGTAATAATGTTTATATTATTTTTGCTAAATCCCAAAATAAATTAAAGCTTGTAAAAATTTACATGAATACATTTTTTTATTCCTTGATATTTTTAGGCTAGAATTAGCAGAAGATAGTTTGCTCCAGTTTAGTCATAGCGAAGAAAGAGTTGTTGGAACTGATGATGCCACTGCTCATGTAAGTTCAAATTTATTTTATGAAATAGTTTTTTTTTTTATTAAGAGTATGAATTATAGAGTACTTTTTATAGGTTTACGATTTGACTTCTGGACAACTGATTCGAACATTTTATGATCAAAGAAATGCAAGCTTTTATACAAAAAACTTTGCTTGTTTTGGCCCTGGTGATGATCTTCTACTTAATGATGGTTGTTTATGGGATGTGCGCTCGAAAAAATTTATACATAAGTTTGACAAGTTCAATGATTTTGTTAGTGGTGTTTTCAATCCTTCTGGTCTGGAAATTATTATCAATTCTGAAGTGGTATATTTTCTTAATATTCTTGTTTTTACCATTATTAGATCACTTAGATCACATTATTTTTATTTATTGTTATTATAACTGCTTTTTGTTTGTTTGTTTTTCCTTGTTTTTTATTTTTACTTGCAAACTATAATTTTTATTGTAGTTTCATCATTTTTATCCAACCATTAACTTTTCAATTAAACAAAATTGCACTTTTATATATATATATATATATATATATATATATATATATATATATATATATATATATATATAAGATTTGATTTTGACCTTTTAAATAAAGTTTCTTTATGTAAAAACATAATCTTTGTTAAAAATTATAAAATACAACAGAGTTTCTAAAAAAAATTAACTTTAATAATTTTTTCTTTTAATTAAAATACTTTATTTTTTTAATTATATACATTTTACATTTTTACTATTTTCACTTACATTTTTAGAGAGTTGTTAAAAAAACTTTCATGATTTAAATAATTGCTCAACAACAATTCACAAAAGAATAACTTGGATAATTTTTATTGTTTTGTAAAGTTTTATTTGCACAATCATTAGCGTTGACAACACTATAATTCACTTCGAGATTATTTCCGCACAAAGGAGTTCTAGAATATAAAAGTCATAGTACAAAACTAAAAAATTCAAGAGCAAACAATGAACAGTCTAGTACTATATAAACTATTTAACAGTTTTCATTTGAAATAATTTTGCAAATAAATAATTTAGCCTAGGGCCCTCAAAGGTGTAAATATGGTCCTGGCTACTATTATTACTGCTTTCTACTGCTGCTGCTTCTTCTTTTCTTTAAGTTTTAATTAATCTAAATGTAACTTTTATGAAAAATAATTAAATAGAAACACTTACAATTTTATTATTATATTTAATTCATTACTTTGATTAGTGGGACATCCGCACTTTTCATCTTCATCACACCTGTCCTGCACTTGACATGTGTCGTATAGTATTCAGCAACTTTGGTGATATTATTTATGGAGGTATATTATAATCTTTTTTATTTTGCAAAGATAAAAAATGTTGTACTTATATAATATTATATCTATTTTGGTTTTAAAAGATAAAAATTTATTTATGTGAAAACAAAAGTTAGTTAAGGAGTTTTTCATCATTTGGTTTTTGTTTTGTTTTTCATTATTTGGCTTCTCTATAGTTCGTATTAAAAATGCTTTTTTCTTTTTCTTTTTTGGATAAGTATGAAATATGTGAACTGTGTTTTGGCATACTGACCATTGTCTAACTATCTCCATTTCTTAGTCCAGGTTTATTAAATTGAATTTTTTAGGTTCTATTTTTTTTTTTTTTTTTTTACCTAATCCCACTTTATTTTGCATAAACATTTTTATGATGATTTTTATAATTGCAGATTTTTTTTTTTTTTTTTCTTGTACATGTTTTTTATGCTTTTTTCTCCACAAACAACAGTAACAAAGTAACAAACAGTAACAAAGTAACAAACAAAAGTAGTACAAAAGTAACATATATTTAAGTAAGTATTAGGATGAACATTTTAAAATAACAATAAACATAAGTTCTGAAAAATAAAAATAAGAAACAAATTTAATCTAAAAAACATATTTAAGTCTTGGAATATCTTACTCAGAATTAGAATGGAGCTGGAGATGAAAATGGAGAGAACCATAGAATGATGTTGCAGCTGGAGGAAGAACTGTATTTAGTTTCCTGTATCAATTTGACAACCCATTTTAGTACAAACAGATTTGAAAATGAAATGCGGTAGTGGTGTAGTGGTAGAGCGCTCGCTTCATAAACGAGTGGTTCCGAGTTCGATCCCCACCACGTCCCTGGTAGTATATTTTAGTACAAACAGACTTAAAAATGAATGAAAAAAAAGTGAAAAAATGTTGCCAAGATTACTTTAAAAATTTTGATATTTTTATACACAAAAGATTATGCAAGACATTCTTCTACTCAAAAGATTTAGTGTTCGGTAATGCAGTTCCATTTGTTAAAGCTTCAATTAGTCTGTCAGTCCCATTCTCTCCTCTGCCTTATGAGATTTTTTCTGTGTTTTTTTAGTAATGTGCCGGGTATCCAGTTCGAACCCAGTCCTGGGTACCCGGAATCGATCATTTTGTTGCAGTACTCGGTACTGCAACAAAATGATCAATTATTGTGGGTCGATAACCACAATATCTTATTTGCTTAATATATACGTGTCTCACTTTAAATATTTTTGCAAAATAGTTAAAGTATATTGCAAAAAGGTAACTGATTTATACGGGTATATAAACAGTAGCGCAAAATGAAAAAAACAAACAGTAGCGCAAAATTTTTTTTTATTTTTATAATTCAATTCATCTCCCCAAGGCCATGATTGCCACTAAAGTTGATGAGGCAACTCTTTTAATTGTGGTTACAACCCTCTCTCAACTCTATGACTCCAAAACACGAACCTTGACGAACAAGGCTGCTATGAAAAAGTTAGCTCTTAGACTATTGTTCTGTATCAGCGAAGAAGATTAAGTTAATTGATTGTTTCATCTCTTGTAAAAGTTTGAAAATATCTGGTTGTAGAAATAGATTATGTAATTATAAGCGTGGTTTTATTTTTAAATAGAAGTAGAAATTGAAATTAGAAAAAGTTTTTTTTATAAAAGAATTATCTTTTACAAGCTCCAAATTAGAAAAAATAGAACCTTTTCATTTAAAAAAAATCAAGACAATTTAAATTTCACACAACTTTAATATTATATAAAATATTATTTGTTTTTTAGCAATTATAAATTTTATTTACTGTTGTTATAGTTTTAAGTTTATTTAAAATTTTATTTATTGAATTTTCTATCAGCTGATGCTTTTAATTATTTTTTAAATATTTCAGTTTATAAATTTATTTTTTTGTAAATTAAAATCAATAGCTGTATTTAAGTATTTTATAAATGTCTATTAATAAATAATTGGATTTTTAATTCACAATTACTGTTCACCGTGTCTTTATTTATGTAAACAACTTCTGATTTTTAAATTTAATTTCAGTAAAACATTCAACAAAAAAAGAGATGCTTGTTGATCAGAGCGGAATGCTAGGACCATATGAATCCACATTCCGAACATTTGATTCCTACGATTATTCTGCAGTGGGTAAATAACAGTTATTATTATCATCAAACCAAGTAAAAATTATTAGTAAAAGAGTTTAAGAATATAGTTTATGGTTAAGGTTAAGGTTATAGTTGATGTTTTAAAGTAAATTATTCTTTTATTCGTGTGTAGGTACTGTTGATGTAAGAAAAACAATATATGACATCTCACCTAATCCAATTGATCAGGTTTTGGCTGTCATCGAGGTAAATAATAATTTACATTAATTGAGATTTTAAATATTGTTTAAATATTACTATAAAAAAAAGTTCGGCAAACAAGAATATAACCTAAAAATAAAATTTTAAATATTTTTCCAATTTGAATTTTAAAACTTTTTATTGTTGTTGTTATTGTTGTTGTAGTTTTTGTTGTTGTTGTTGTTGTTGTTGTTGTTGTTGTTAAGAAAAATATTTTTGCAAGTTTAGCAAGTATAAGTGTTGTCTCAAATAGAAAACCTTATAAGTTTGATAAGCCTAAAAAACTTATTTACTTTTGAAATTATTTATTTATTATAATATTTACTTATTATTGTTTTTTAACTTAATACATATTTAGACTGGTAGCAGCATATCGAGCGTAGATGTGGACACAACGTGTCGGTTTTACGATATCGGAAAGTTAAAGGGTAGCGATGATAGTGATGAAGAACCAGTAATTTTTTTTTTTTTTAATTATTACTTTTAAATCATTATTAATTTTTGTTTATTCATTAATAATTATAAATTTATTAATTACAAAAATTTACATAGGATGATAGCGATTCTGATGGTCATGAAGATCCTCGTGATGACGTTATGAACCAACTTTTTGATAACATTTTTGGTATAATATTTGAAATCATTTTTACTTATGGGTAGAATAAATCAGACCTAGCGAGATTAATTATCGAAAAATTATCAAAGCAAAAAATTGATTTTAATTCCAGCAAATCAGTTTTAAGAGTTGGAAAAATGTTCTTATTTGACATTTGATATTTTAAGTTTTTCATAATTTGTTCTTTATTATTTATTTATTGTTTAAGCGATAAAAAAATAATAAAAATTAATTTTCTTTAAATCTAGTATTATAAAAACTGAGTTTTTTCCTAATTCGAATCTTTCTTTTTTGTGTGGAATTTTTTTCAAACTATACGAATTTATACGAACTTTTTTTCAAATTAGCAGGAGAAGAGTTTGACGATGGAGAAGACGGAGATGAGTCATATGAAACAGAATCAGAAAATGACGACGTAATATTTGATGATGATGAATCGACTCTTGATGAAGATGACGACGAAGAGGATGAAGAAAATAGCGAGTTTGCTAATTAATAGTTAAAAACCTGAATTTTGCAATAACAAATTTTTAGTTTTTTTTTTTTTGGTTTCGCAAGTTTCTCAAATTGTTTTTTATGGTTTGGAACAATCCAAAGTAACCAAGTAACCCCCAATTTATATGTTAATCAGTTTAAAGCTGAAATATCTGCTAAGTTTTTTGGTCTTATTGTTACAAAAGAGGGTTCAAAAAACTAGATAAAGTGCTTAGGGTCAAAAATATAGAAAAGCAAGGTTGTTTTAACATAATAAACATAAGAAGAATATTAGAAATATAAGCACAAATATCCAAATTCCAAAACTTACTTTATTATTTTCATTTCATCTTATTATTCTTTTATTTGGTACTTTTTAAAATCACACCTTGTAAATTTAAAACTAAATATCAACAAAACAGCCCAAAAAAATCCCTTTAAGGGTTTATAATATGTGATTATAGTAGGACTCTTACACTCCTACATTACAGTCCGTGAAAGATTTTTAAGTTACCAAATTTTCATTCATTTTAATTATTTTTGCCACTGGTATGGTTAGGTTTGGTAGAGTGAGACATAAAACATGTTTTGATCCACATTCCGAACATTTGATTCCCTAACCCCACTTTCTCATTGCTTACATCAAACAATAGTTGAAAATTATACAAAAAAAAGTTGTAAATTTAATATTCAACTTTTATCTGAAAAACCCTGCTCTAAATATTTTTTTTTTTTTTTTTTGTAAACTTTATATTTATTAAATATTTATTTTAAGAGAGAAAAAAATTCAGTGAACCAAATAAAATCTTTAGCTTCTAGTTCAAAACATACACAAACTTCTCAATATACAAATGTAATACATGCTTATACAACTGATTTCTAAAATACATAAACTCAAAAATCTATACGAAATTTAAAAATGATGCAGAATGCATTTAACAAAATGTTTCAAGAAGCACAAGGTTGTTTTCAGAAACATAAACACTAGCAAATGGATAAAATTCTCGAGGTTTTTTGATTTTTTCATGTGTCCCCAAAAGTTTATGAAATTTTGTTATTTTTTTATTATTTCACTAATTTTTTTAGGCTGATACAAGTTTAACAGTTTTTAGGAGTTTTAGGAGTATATAACACCAACGACATGAATGCTTTACTATTAAGTGCTTAATACAAGGTATGGCATACAATGTAAGGTATTTATGGTGGGGTGGGAATAAAGGTGTAGGTGAGAATTTTCATTTTAATCAGTGAAAATGCTTCTATTTTCTTATTTTAAGACCGGTTTTTAAAGACCATTAAAAGTTTTTTTTTTTTGTTAATTTATTTTCTTTGCCGTTTGTTAAAATTACAAAAACAAAAAAATATTATTATAAAACCTGGCCAGAGCAAAAAACAAACAAATTACCTCACCACCGAGCCCTGTTACATTGGTGTTTTTAGGCGTTTTTAAAATTTTACACACGTATTAAATAATGAACAAAACAGTAAATACTACCAAAAATTTAGAACAAAAAAAAACTTTTACAGACAACATTTAATTGAATAATTTAAGAAATGAAATAAAACGAAATAGAGTTAACCATAAGGTTTATCAATCTGCTAAAATACATTATGTTTTACTACTAGTAATGAAATATAAATAAGTAAATTATAAATAAAATTGATTTTTAAATTTGAAATAAAAAATTAGTATTTTAGTTGTATTAAAGAAATATAACAACGATTTTCTTAATTTTACATCAATATTTATTAAATGTTGATTATTTATTTTGTTAAAAATGAAACAGCTGAAACAGAAACAAAAAAAAATAGTAACAATAGGCAAGGAAATGTAATAACAATTTTCAATAACATATTTCATTTAAACCTATTAAATTATTTTCAAAAAGTAATTGTAAATGCCGCTTAATATTAGCCTTAAATCTTTTCAAACTGCAGATTAATACGAAGCCCTGTTTTTCATTAAAAATACGAAGAAACTTTTTCCATACAAAAGGTCCACGGTATTGAATTTGGTACAAACTTATGCTGGGTTATTCTCTGAAAAATTGGAAGAATTTTTATAAGAAATTTCATTGAAATGTTACTGGAGATTCTAGGTTTTACTAAAAACAGAAAAAGTATCACTTGGTGAATATTAACTTTATAAATACATAAAGCTCTAAGCTCACGTCAGAGAGGCTCACAATATGCGTTTTTTTTTTTTTTTGGCCTAAATATTAACCTGCCATAAATTTTTTTTTTACTACATATTTTTTTAGTTTTGCGTGATTAGTACTGTTCCAGGCAATATTACAGCAAAACGTCACATCAAAGCTGCTGTAAAAGATGATACTGAAGCCATTAAAACAGGTTCTACTTACAAAATTGTTTATAACCTTTCAGCCTTTATAAGTGCACCACAGAACTCGCTAGCTGCTCAAGCAACTGCTCAATCCAATTTTAAGACGAGGAAACTAGCAGCAGTGTACTAGCTTATGCGAAGAAATCAAAAATTGACAATTATAGATACAAACTTTTTGTTAATCCAGATCGAACTTCATCTGAAGTTGACAATTTCAACAAACTAAATAAAAACAGAAAAAAATATGACGCCCCTTAAAATAAATTACTCAACCAGCTATTTTTATTCGTTATCGGTTGAAGAAGGCTCAAATACATTAAGTACCAACTTAATGTATTTAACACACAAAATATATTAAGTACCAACAATACTGAGAAAAACGCGTTCGGCGACTGGAATGAAGCTTGCATAGCTGTAGAGCTGTCGTATGTCACTAGCCTAAACAAATAGCAAATTAACCAGCACATACATCCGTATCAAACAAAATCAAATTATAAGATTATAACTTAGAAAGAAATTTAAAAATATTTTAATATTTAACAATATACCAAAGTTGTTTCACATTATGCCCTATAAATTTCTCAACTTGTCTAATCTTTTCTTAATCATGATACTTCTTTGCACAATTAGTGCATTTAAAAGTCCTTACGGTTTTATTACAAAAGCATTTAATTAGGAAATTCATGCCTCCTCCTTAACAAAGTCGTTTATTAGGCTAGATCCGGACCACTTGGTCAAACCTCGGATTACTTGGTTATGAACCAGAACCAAGTGGTCCGAGGTAACCACTGATTGTTAACTCTAACCACTGATTGTTGTCATGAATCAAAGTATTGTAAAACTCAGAATGCTGCTTGATATCTTTGCGACCTCTAAGTAAATGATGCTTTTCTCACTCCGTCTCTAAGGTCTATCAATAATTACTATGAATTTGTTGATTATCACGAGCAATTAAAGTCAATTTCTGCAGTTAAAGTCAATTATCACGAGCAGTTAAAGTCAATTATCACGAGCAGTTAAAGTCAATTTCTGAGCATCCCCTTTGTCATACTTTTTTCAAAAAAACAAATAGCTTTTTTTTAAAAAATTTTATTGATTGATATGTACTACGAGAAACTCATTTGCACATTTCTGTTTTTTTTTTTTAATTTCTATTTATTGATGTGTACTACAAAAAACACATATATGTATCTTTATCTAAGAAAACATACATTGAAAAAAAATAATACGCGCTGTTATATTTTTATAATTTTTACCTGGCGATATTAATTGTGTTTTGTTTTCAAATTTATCAAAGCTTTCTCTCATTTATATATATATATATATATATATATATATATATATATATATATATATATATATATATATATATATATATATATATGTATATATATATTTTTTTGTTCTTTAATTTTACAGCTTTGTGATTTAATAATTATTCGTTAACAATGTATATATATATATATATATATATATATATATATATATATATATATATATATATATATATATATATATATATATATATATATATATATATATATATATACATGATCGTTATTAAGAAATAAAAGAACGCAGGAACTCGTAGAAGACAGTAAGGTTATGTCGTCGAGAACCGCTAAAAAATTTACGTGTTAATATTTCGTATTAATAAAATATTCTCAAAATAAATAAACTGTCAATAGGAATATATACTTAACATACTTGAAGATAACAAATAATTAAGAATTGAAAACATTAACAAATTTAAAGAAAAAAAGAAAAAGAAAAAGGGTTCCGTTATAAATACATAGATGCGTTATACAGTTTTAAGATACCTTTAACAAAATTGTTAAACTTTTTGTTAAAAGTTTTGTTATACAGTTTTAAGGTACCTTTAACAAAAGTGTTAAACAATTATATACAAATTGTTAAATTATAAATTTTATTAATGCAGTGTTAAATATAAAGTTAAAAAAGAAACAAAAAGTTAAAAGAATATAGATATATAATCTAATAAAAAAATGACTTTGAATGAAAGAGTGATAGCTAACTTCTTGAGAAAAGTCAAAATTCTTTAAAACTATTTTATTCCAAAGTAATGCTCCTCGAAATGAAATACAGTATTTTCCAGAATTAGTTTGATAAGCTGATTGACAAATGTCATTATCATTCGTAAAATGTACTTAGTTTTTTCTTTTTTGTTATACAAATTATGAAAAGGTACAGGAGAAATATTGTTTTTACATTTAAACATAAAGCATATAACGTTAAAAATATTAAGCTCATATATATTTAAAACTTTCATTTCAATTAATAGAGGCTTGGCATGAGTAAATCGATCCTTAAAATTAATAAGGCGTGCAACATGTTTCTGTTGACGATAAAGAGGTTCCAGTTTACTTTTATTGGTACTACCCCACGCAATGTTCACATAGTTTATGTGACAATGAATGAGCGAATAATATAGTTTAAGTAATGTATGTTTATTTAAAAAACTTTGTACAAAATTCCTACGCTTTTTGATATTTTACAACTCAAATTTTTTATATGACTTTTCCATGACAAATTTTCATCAATATAAATACCAAGAAAGTTTGTTACTTTTTTTAGAAGTATATTATCAATAAAAAGCAGTGGCATCTCATTTGGTATAAGATTTTTGTGTGATTTGGATGGAAAAAAATCCATTTCGTTTTATCAATATTAAGAGACAGTTTATTTGTC